AGTTAAAGCTAAAGAAGATAGTGAAAATCAGCCAATCAATCAATACTTTCATGACGATTCCATCAAAATCCTGTTTCAGGAAGGTCCATGGGCCACCGAGGAACCCTCGACCGTGGCTCCATAAACGGGATGTTTCATCTACGGGAGTTAGCCTCAATTTTACTGTCATTTACTGTCCATCGAATAAATTGCAATTGTGAATTACCATTGTTTCGTTTACAAATCTCAAGAACAAGGACAAAAACAATACACTTTTGAGCGCAAAAGGATTGTAAATTATTCAACAAAACCATTGTTTTCATGTTTTTCCTAAAACGTCTCATTTTTCTCAAAAATCTACGAAATCGGTCTCTCTATGGTTCCTCGAAAGGCCATTATCTCGTTTTTCAACTTGGTAAAATGGTTTGAAATTTTAAAATTGAAGATTAAGTCAACTCCGTCTAAGTCTAGCCTGAATACCAATTTTGGCCTGGCTTGGCTTGATTTAACCTGAAAATTAGCCAGCACTGACTGCTTCTCTACATTTCACCCTATCGTTTAGGTGCTTTTAATTGCTCTGCTAATCTTCTGTCTATTGTATCTCAAATTGCCGTCAACGGGCCCGTTCCAATTGACGCTGGCTACAAGCTTTGCCACGCGATTCGCGATCGGCATTGAGAAGACCATGCTCGTAAACTCCACAAAAGCTTCTCCTTCAAAACCAACAACTACAACAACGCGAAACTCTCTAAAAGGCGATGATCTGTTTGTGTGGAACGCTTTCATGGACTATCGGTAGGTGTCAATAAACTTTTTAAAACGGAATCGATTTCTTTTTTAATTAAACCAGGTACAATAAGCGTTACGATATGTCAGCTCCGAAATTAGTCGATTTTTTTACACCTTTGCCAGTTTTATTTTTCATTTTGCTGAATTTTTTCATTTCATTTTGCTCAGTACCAATGCAATTCATGTTATTGATTGCACTTTACGTGAAACGAACTGAATATATTCATTATTTTTACGATTGATCTCATTTTAACTTTCTAAAAAGGGAACTTACAATTAGAGGCGTGTCCATTGGATTACCAAAAGCTGCTGCTAGCCTAGAGAATCCTACCCAAAAATTAGCGTTGGGTTGACTTGACCTGGCGCACAAAAAGTAAGACTAGTGATACAGCAGGTCAACTTGTTTCTGGCTTACTGCTGGCCTGATCTATAGTTAGTCTGGTTTGGCGAATGGCTAGAGAATGGCCAACTAGAAGTTAGGATCGGGTCAGCTCTAGGATCAGATCCGGCTTGCAACCTAGGATGTGATTGAAAGTTTCCTGCTAGCTTTTCCAGGCCTGGCTGGCTTTTAGTTCATTGTTTACATGTACTATATATAGAATACTGGGATTTAAAAACGGAAAGCAGTTGTTTGATTTAAAAAGCGAAAATTCTGATTCCTGCTTGCAATAAACTACAGTTCCGGGTCTCAATTCGTGCAAAATCCCATTCAAATGAGACCAAAAAGTTTAACACACAAAAACCGTCAATAATGTCTCTGACTCTGGCTCACTAAAGGAGAAATTTTTGCAAAATTTGCACGGTGACATCAAATATTTAATTGATTTCACTCTTTTCATAAAACGTGAACTTTTTGAATATTCAGGTCACAGGACTCACCACGAATCCGCGTGAATTTATTGGGAAATTGCGAAAGGTTGAAGAGTCGCTTTATTGACGAAATTTTGATTTATGTTGACGATCGGGCGATTCCCATCCATTGGATTGTACCAACAACGCGTGGGGTTTTGAATTTTTTTAGGAATTTTTTGAGGGATTGGAAAATTGCATCCATAAGATCCGTAAATTGTAAAATTAGAATGTTTAGCTTGCCCAAGCAAGTGCAAGTACACCTCAATCGATATCACGACGAGAAAGTACCAATATTTCAACGATGTTAAAGAAGTACGAGATTTCGAGGAATCATGCAAAGCTCGAGAATTGTTAATCCAAAAAAACTCAATTAAGATAACGGTGAAAAAATGGCGACGCGGCTATGTGAACGCAAAAATTGGAGTGAGGAAAATGTTTGGACCGGAAGCTCAAGAAAATGGGATCACCTCTTGTTTGAAGCCATTGCTTTGGTGAGAAACGTAATCACTTTGGACCTTTGTGTTGACTTTCTTCTTTAGAATTGGTTCTTTAGAACGAAGAGCAATGGGTTGTTTAGATCTTTGTGTTTACTAGATAGACAGTTTACATTCATACAATCGTTTGCTTAGGTTCAACGATTGGCGCCGTTTGCTTCTCTATTTTGAGTTGGCACGGGGAATCGGGTACACAAGATTTCTGATAGCGTGGAATTTTGTATCGAGTGACGTGAAGAAAGTGATCGATCATTACAGAAATTTGGTGAGTTTTGAGAGGTGGATTGGCTTTCACTGAGCTTTACAAAAAGACTTTTATAAACTCGTAGAGGTTCTGTATTTTTCTACCTTTGTTCCGTAAAAACAGAAATAAAAGCACTGAAGAGTTTGCGTCTAAGCTTAAAACTTTTAAACATCATCAGAGCTTTTTGGTTAATTTCAGAGTCTTGTCGATATCCCGTATCCAATCACGGCAAACGATCCACAGGTAAAAAAAGCTTTGCTCAAAAATCCGTAGCTCTCTAGCTTGCTTTCAATCCTCTCATCGGGAACACAATGGAAAATCTTTGGGCTCAAAGTTGCTCGTATTTATCTCAAACGAAATACACATCTTACAATGATTTCGATGAGATTTTCTATGTCAAGTGAGAGTTTTCGATTGAAACTAACAGAAAATTTAGAAAAAACATATCATTGTTCGATTTATTAGAGTACCAAAGTGAGAGAGATGTCACAGCTGGTAAAATAACAGAAAAATGAGTTGAGCACATAGATTTTAGGCGCTTTTGTGTTCGCTCGCTTTGGATTTGCGTTTGAATCGAAAATTCGCGAAAAATCGTTTTCGGAAGCAGTCAACGGATTGAAAAAAGGGCAACTTTTTGAGAATCCTGGGATAAAAAGAGTGGGTAAACTTGAAAATCTTGTCCCTACTTTGTGCTTTTGAAAGACGCAAGCCCTCTGGCATACTGGAAATGCAAAAGGGCTTTCGGACAAATGAACCAAAGGCACTAGGGAGCGTGCGTTCGCTCGAGCACAAAGTACGGTACGAGTGTTGACTTGATATGCTCTTAAAAGCCAATTAGATTCAAAAGCCACTTCAAAATTTGTAGATGATCTACGCAAATGAATTCGTTCGTGAGGTTTCCTCAACCGATGTCACAAAGTTTTTCTTGAATAAGAAGATGAGATCGGTATTTTGAAGGATACTTTGAGAAATTGTGAATAAATGTAGATGAATTCGAAGGATGCCATTTATCTCAAGATCAACTACGAGAAAGATTCTGGAAACGATTCTCTTCTGCCGAATATTCCCTTGATTGAAAAGGTTCATCGGTTAGAGACAATTCTAAGAAAATTCTAGGATCCTGAGCTAATCAATCGAATCCGAGATCGAGTGAAAGAGATTTTCGGGGACAAAACTCCAGACTATGATAGAACGATTCTTGAACGATATAATCTTTGTTCAAAGGAGTAAGTTTCGTAATCAAGTTTGCTCCTGTTTTCTAAAGTTTGTTGAAAAGTTACCGTTAGTCTAAAATAGTAGAACTAGTAGTCTAAAATAGTAGAACAAATAATTGGTCTTAAAATTTCAGTGATAAGACCTGTGAGTCACCCATTGGACGATGTGTATCGAAGCTGGAAAATGCCGAGAAATGGATTCAAAATGACGCGCCGGCTTGGGATAAACTCTATGTTTTGTGAAGATAAAAATCTCGCCAACATTCCAAGACTAATTATGGTTTAAATTGCAAGATATTGTTATTGGTAGTTCAATCGAAACAAATATATTGGGCTTTTCTAATAAATTATCCTAATTTCATTTGAAGCATCACTTTTTGAAGTAAAAATATTTTTAGAGTTAACCCCTTTGATACACGTTATCAGTTTTTTTCGTCTCATCTCTCGGTCGCTTCCGGGCATGCCTCTCCGCAAAGAACTAAAAATTTTGCTGAGATTAGTATGAAATTGGAGAATTCATCCGAAAAACTGTTCACATACCTGAATAACTTCTTTTATATACTTTATTTTATTCTTAATTATTTTATTCTTTTAAAGATTTACTCAAGATTCGACGCCGAGTCAGTCCCAATTTTGTTGGGCTTCAAATGATGCCAAATGAACGAGTAAGTGATATTTAAATAATTTGAAAATTTAGAAAATCTTATAAAGGTTTAAAAACAATTTAATTTTAAACTTTAAAGTAAATTTAGAGAGAAAATATGTTTCTGTCAAGCATTTTCGCCTTTTTTTTGACGGCAATTTTCATAATCGATTATTTTTGGGTGTCTTTATAGTCAATTTCAAAAAAAAAAACGGTGGTGATCGTTTTGAGATTTTTTTTCTCGTTTCTTTTCCTCTTAACTTTACAAAATCGTTTTTTTTCCAAGAAATGACATTGCTTCATCAAAAATGATTGACTATTAAGAGACTCACAAAAAAAAAATAATCGATAAGTGTGTCAGTTGTTTGTTTTTCTGTCAAAGAGACAAAATAGTGCTCTTTATCATCAATTGTTTAGATAATATAAGTTCTTTTTATTACGCGGTGCTTCAATTGATATTTTATTACTTGATTACTTGGTAACTTTCCAGTTTTACTCATTTTTACTCGTTTTTACTCACTCAAAGTGTTTGATCTTTTTGATAGTGATATTTGAAATGATTTAAAGTTTTTTGAATTTCGAATTATCATCAGAGAAAGGAAGGTTTAGCGAGTTCCTTATCTTACTAAATTCGGTTCCTCATCTTACTAAATTCGGTTCTTTATCTTACTAAATTCGTTTCTTGTTCAGTGTTCATTTGTTGTATATTATTTCTTTGGTTCATCGTATCCTTTTCCTTATTTAGCTGCTAGTAAGGCTGGGGCTAAAGTCAGCAAAAAAAAAGAATGGTGGACAAAGAGGAGGGAAAGGGTTGCTCGGCAATGGTCATCGGTCGGTCACGCCCGGTGGAATAGATCGAGAAAAGGGGGAAAAAAAGAACGATTCTATGACCAATACTATATCAATTTTACAATCGTTCTTCGTGCTTTCTTGCTCATTTCGTGAAGTTTGATAACCGTTTCCTAAGATCATATGAGCTGATTTTTTCAGAAAAAGTACTGACTTTTCTTTCGATTATTTCGAATGCATTTTAGCTGATTTTAGCTGATCATTTTAGAGCTGTTTTTATAATTTCTTTTTCAAAAAGGCATAGGAAATTATCTAAATAACATTTATCTATTTGCAGAAACATTTATGATTCAAAATTTATGATTCAAAACCTTAAAATTCAATTGGCATTTGGCATTTTATTTTTTTTTTATTTTAAATGGCATTTTTAAATGTATCTTCAACATTTTTGTTTAAAGTTCAAAATTTTCAAATTGGGTTTGGTTTTTTATTGGCTAAACAAAAAAAATGAAAGATTTAAAGGAGCAAACCTTTTGAATTTTTAGAGGAAATATCCATGAAGGCTTTTGAATGAGTTTCTTTTCTCATTCTTAATGGCTTCGTATTTTTGGTGTTTACGATAGCTTTATGTGGCTCTTTCATTCATGTATCTTTATGTAGCATCTCAAAATCTCTGCTTTACTTGAAAGTTTTCTTCCTTGAATGTGTATTTGCTTGATTTGCAGAAAGATTTCCGATAAAATAAGTTTTATTCCAAAGAAAGCTGCACAAAATGTGCAAAATTATTTTTTAAAAATGGTACAAATAGTCTACACGTATTGGGTCTACATCTGGGTTTAGGTTTTGTTGTGCTGTCATTTCTTGGGTTTAGGGTCAAACACGTCACAATGCCCAAGTCTTGACTCCCGTCACAATCCCAAAAGCTCTCGAGCTTTTGCAGCAGTCCAAAAAACTAATTCGGAGCTCGATCCGTGAGCATGTGCTGCTAAATATTTTGACCGTCATCTATCAATTTCCATGTTATCAGTTTCCAAACCCTAAGAAACAATGGTAATATAAAGTTATTTATGCTCATTTAATTTGAAGATTTTTTTGTTTCATTAAATAAAAAAATTTAGATCAAAATAATAATAAAGAAATCAAATTAAGCCAAAGGTCGACTGCAAGTTTAGCAATTAATTAATCCTTGCTACTAGCTGATTTTGCTAATTGTTTCTACAAAATCTTATCTACCGTATTTTCTCTAATAGTAGTGCACCCCAGCGAGCCGAGTTGATGACTATTTTACGGTTTCCAATTTTTCCTAGAAGCTCAACACTCTAATTCCCCACAAGATCTCATCATCAGCTACATTTTCCGACCCCAAATCGATAGGTTCTGATAAGCGCTTTTCGAGATTTTGAGCAATTTAGGCGACGCTCTGGGTGCACTACTATTAGAGAAAATACGGTATCTACATGCCTAAACCGCATCGGATTGCTCTTACAAAGCCTAAACCTAAAGGGGGGGGGGCCGTTTGGGCGCCGATTCACCTTTTTCATACCTTTATAATGGAAGCTACAATAAAACTCTTTTACCAATTTCCTTAACTTTCTACAACTTTTTCAACTCAGACTCAGAAAAGCCTTTAGAAATCAAAAATCATCCCGTCATTTGAAAAGAGAACAGATGAAAGCTGAAAAGCGCGCCTATTTGTTCTTTCGAATTTTTCATTTACTTTTCTTTGGCCTTTTTATAGATTGAGTTTGATCTTTTTGAAATGTTTGTGCAAAATTGTGGCTACGAGGGGTTCAGGGTGGGAAAGTTCATTGGGAAGAAAAAAGAAAGAGGAGAGGTCACAAAATACTAAATGGGGAATTTAAATTCAAAACTTTTCACTTAATCAGTTTCATTTTATCTGAAACTTTAGAAATATTTCGATGGGAAGAGAGATAAATTTATCATTTCAAAATCTTTGCTTTACCCTTTACTTCTTAAAATCTCTCATTTAGCTCTTTTAGTGCTGGTAACTTTTTGAGAAAGCATGAAAGCTTAGATGATTTGAGTCCATTTTACTGGGTAGAAGTCGAATGTCTCTCGTGTAGAAAATCTTTAGCTTTGACGCAAATCAATCTGTCAGCCATTTTTTGATCTCTTCTTCGGAATCCACTTTGAAGATGGCTGACAGATGCGTCAAAACTGAAGATTTTCTTATAAGCTTGAAAGCTTTAAACTATTGGGTTGGTGAATTGAAAATTGCGGGACTTTGAACTAAAATTTATTCAACATAAAACCATAAACTCATTCCAAATAATTTCCATTATTATTGACGACTTCTGCCCATTTTACAGGCAATTTGCGGATTCCTCTTTCGTAGTAGGATTTTGGTTTGTGTGTGAGACAAGTGTGAGACTCAAAAATGGAGGACTGGAGATGTCCCAGTTTGAGCACTTTCTTCAAAAGAAACCCATTTTGGTGTCCATAGAAAAGTTGTAGAGAATCAAAAATTAGGCTTATAGTCAAATTTCCAAAAAGATACACTTAGTAGTTTCGCTTAAAATGCAAGTTTTGTGAAAATTTGTACATTTGGCATTTCTTGAAAACCAGTTTTTGAATCGTTCTGAAAATTTGGATATAAGCTTGCTTTTTGATTCTCTACAACTTTTCCATTGACACCAAAATGGGTTTCTTTTGAAGAAACTGTGACATATGACAATAGCCGGCAGTTTTCAATTCACTTACCCAATAATTTCTAAACTTTCTCAATTTTTAAGTGAAAATTGATTTAATTTCAGACGCCGATGATCCCATCTCCTCCAAAGACGCCAAATTTTGCTACAACTATAGCCTCAAATGATGTAAATGATGTGAACATTGGTGAATTTTGAAGAAATTGCATGAAATATTGTCAAGAGTTAAGAAGTTAAGAAAGCTGAAGTTAAGAATTCCAAGTTCTGTTATAGCATTTGGTAGTTTAGATTAGGGTTTCAATAGGATTTATTTCTGTATTGTGATTAATCAATACTGGTTTGCTATATTGGTTATATCAATATTGGTTAAATAAACCAGTATCTACTTTATTGTAACTTAAGTATCCACGGGTTTTTTTTTCAGAAAAGATTTCCCCAGAGGAGTCACGACGCTCGTGGTTGAGACTGAAATTTTGTCAGGTTAGTGAATTCAAAGTTTTTCTTTGCTAAAACTATTTATATTTCTTTTTTAAGATTTTCTTTTTACAGGTCTACTTTCTGCTCGTTTTGGTTGCAGTTTTGGCGTTCGCCATTCTCATCTTTTGCATCGTTTTCGCAGCAAAGCTAAGCCAAATGAATAGCCGTTATGAGAGTATAGAGGCGAAGACAAAGGGATTGATGGTTGGGTTTTAAAATCAAAAATTACTCTCTAAGTCCATCATAATTTCTTTCAGGAGATGAAGCAAGGGTTCAACAATTTCCAAAACGCTGGTTTACTGTTAAATGGCAACAATAATAAGCAAAAGACGGGCGATGGAGTTCCATCGAAAGATGAGTACGATGAAATGGAAGGAGAGGGGTGAGAGAGATCTTAAAGTATCAAAGTTTTAGTGCAAGTGTGTTCCCATTTTGGCAAAGTGTACACACAAAGATCTCGTTTAGATTACCGCCAGCGATCAAGCCATCAAAAGTCGTTTATGGAAGTGAAAAGGATCAAAAACAAACGACAATGATACCAGAAAACGAATTATTTCTGGACAAAATGAAGCTCCGGGAGGAGGCGGCAAAAACAGTGAACTTCGAGAAGCGACAAGAGGATCCACCGGTGATCAATCAAGGCAAATACATACCACCAACGGAAAAAAGTAAGTCAAATTTTAGAATCATGAAAAATTGAAAGTTAATTCTCTCTGGAGTAATGGAAGCCAAGTTCGTTGTGGTGTATGGGTTAGCACAGTTGCTCGGTAAGTGGAAGGTTGCGGATTTGAGTCCCGGAGGTGTGGCAGTTTTTGATCTGCCCTAGTTCCAAACTTGAAAACAGATTCTAAATTCTATCCGTTCAAGGTCGTTTCGAGAGAATCTCCCGAGGTGAGTTGCCTGGGTGCACCGTGTTTTGCTTTTGAAAACCCACATAATATTGTTTTTGTTTCTAGATGCCAATCAAATTTTAGTCCGATATGTCGATCCTGACCCGTATCGATGGTATCGAGAAGGAGGAGCATGTGGAAAAATGGATCAATGCCCGGGGTGAGTCGATGATTGATTATTGTGCCAATCGTGGATCCGGGAACAAAAAAGGGAAACAAAAAATAGATCCAAGTTTTCTTGCCTTTAAAACAGCTCCTCTTCGTACAGAGTCAAGAATAAACACAAAGTTTGACGTCTATTTGACGTTTGAAGGTTCAATGAAATCATTCATTTAGCTCGAAAAACTATTTCTTTCGAGAAACGAAGCCTCTCGTAGTGATCTCGTTTGATGGTTTCTCAAAAGTGTACGATCAGAATCGAGCAGTGAAAAATCTCGAGCACATCAAGAAGTGCGGAACGACGGCTGAAGTGAGGCTTTAGCTAATTTGATATCATACTCTATAAGCCTTCAAATCATAAGCTCGGATTTTAGTTTGTGATTCCGTCCTATCCGACAAAAACTTTCCCAAATCACTACACAATTGCCACTGGAGTTTATCCGGGACATCACGGATTGGTCGATAACTATGTTTGTTGTTAAAACTCTATTTTTCTATTTGCTTAACTTGCACCTTAAACTTTAGAATATCTAGGCTTTCAGGTCTATGATCCAGCGATCTCAGACAAGGTTCTTGACGGTAAATACAATCGCGATCCAAGGCTGTTTCAATCAGATCCGGTGAGGGTTTACCAGTGCTGCAAATTAGATGACAGTGACATCACTGACTAGACGTGTAAAACTTCAACTTAGCATCAAAACGAGAAAACAACAACAAAAAGCTGCGCCAGGGACCGAACCCTAATCCTGTGGGCGGAAGCATAATGCGTTATCACTAGGCCACCATCGTATTTTTCTCCTTTTCTCAACGGATGCTTGAAAAGGCTCTTCCCAATCAAGAAGAGATACGTTGGAGGCCTAGTGGATGACGCATTAGTTTTCCGCTCACAGGTTCAGGGTTCGGTCCCTGGTGCAGCTTTTTGTTTTTCATTTTTGACGCCAAATTTTCAATTGAAGTTTTAGGAAAGTCATTTGGCAGATTTTGATTCCTATTCGAATTCCTCATACCCGTTTCTATAAAGTGCACTAGGTGGACAGAAAAAAGCTCACCTTGAGCTCGTACCTTTCCCTAATGAGCACTGTACTTGTAATTGACTTCAAATTTAGATTTGGTCACTCTACAAGCGAGTAACTGGCAAGAAAACGGCGTGTATGATGTGGATCGGATGCAACAATCACCCCGATTTTCAGCCGGATTATCTGGAACCGTTCAATTTCAACATCACTGACGCACAGAAATTTGATGAGGTAAATCGATAGAAATATTCGAAAGCTAACTTTGAAATCTAGGTCGCTGAATGGCTATCAAAGCCCGAAGACGAACGACCCGGCCTCACTATGGTCTACATTGCCGAGCCGGACGATAGCTCACATTGGGCGAGGATGAATGAAGGGAATTTGGTGGGAATTACTGTTTAAAAATTTCCATTTGTCTCTATCTCCCAATATTTTAAAACATTGAAAGCTTTGTGTCAAAATCCACTAACAATATCAATTTTCTTTTCAGAGAAGCGACGCTCTTGCCGAAATTGATCACTTGCTCGGGCGTTTCTTCAACAAACTGCACGACAAGAATCTGATGGACTGTTTTAACATCATTGTACTCTCTGATCATGGTTTTGTTCTAGAAAGTAAAGAAAATGCCAAGAAAATGTTAACAGGAATGGCTGATCTTTACACTCACATCAACTTGAAGACGAAACTCTTCGATCCAAAGCTAAAAATGATCACCGGTCCTTTAGCTCGATTTCATTTTGATGGAAGCTGTAAGTGAAAGAAAAAACTTCAAAGAAATGGTAATTTTAGCCACAACTCAAGCGGATATTCGAAAAGCTTTCCCATGTGACAATGGGACAAATCATTTGCTTTTTAACAAGAAAACCTTTCCACCGAGGTGCCACTACACGGAGAATCCAAGGACAGGGGATATGATACTGGAGGCACCGATTGGGACAGAATTCAGAGGGTTCGTTGGCTTAGGAGCTGGCTTGAGACCAAGCCTTGGCCTGGCTGGACCAGCTTGCGGGCCCAATTGGTGTTATATTCTGAAAGGAATACACCGGGGACAGCCGGGTGTGGTTTATTTACGGTATATCAATCACAATACAACAACACGCACAATAATAGGCTATATCTTCACTTAACCGACGCCATGACAGGCGGCTCCCTAACCCTAAGCTCAATGGGAAACTAAATAGCTTTTTCTAGTGGTGAAGATGGAGGGAAGGGAAAATGATGATGAAGGAGTGGCTTTTCACTTTAAAGAACTGGGGCCACAACACCAGACTACCCTCCAGAAAACCTTTCAACCCGAAGGGCAAAAGAAATTCGAAGGGCACGCGCACGCGGGGTTCGAACCCTCGACCTTCCGATTAAGATAAAGGGCGCTTAACCAGTCAGCCTCTGAATGATAAACTCTCTGAATTGGTGCTATATAGTACGTCGATGGTAGCCAAAGATCGTCTAGACACCTAGAAATAAAATCAAACTTAATTAGAATGTTTTAGGGATGATTCAACTTATCGTCACGGAGATCACGGTTACGATTACCTCGAGCCCGAGATGAGAACCGTTTTCTTCGCACGAGGGCCCGCCTTTCAAAGAAAAGCTGTTCTCGCTCCATTTCAAAATGTTGAATATTACAACTTGTTTGCCGGTAAGATGAGGAATCGTTTCTTAAAACAAAAAAATAGAGCTCCTTGACATTCCGAGCAAGCTCATCTCTCCAAACAATGGCACATACGGGCGATTGGAGGGAGCGCTGACGAAACAAAACAACGAACAGGATCCATTCTACTGGGCAGCTCAAACGATACCGTAAGACCTAGACCTAGAGTGTGTTCCTTTCAAGTAATGCGTTCGCTAAAAAGCGCGCATCAGAAAAAGCTACCGTAATCAAAAGATTAAATGCAAATTTCAGTTAATTCTGTTTTTTTCTTGATTTCTTTTTCATTTTTTCTTTATTAGTAAATTTTAATGACCCATTTTTGTTTTCTGTTAACAAATTAATGTATCTAGCTACTAAATCTTGTGTTTAGAATGCCCCACTAAGTTTAGATAGCCATAGATACAAATTAGCATGAACAACAGTTGGTTGAGCGCGGTAAATTCCTTAAGTCGTCCGTTTTATATTATTCCTTTAAGAGCTCACTATCTCCAAAGCGTCAACCTAATCCCCCTTCGTTAGTATGGCATTTCATGAGTAAATGTGAAAGTGAAGATGCCGTGAAATATGTCAAATGCCAGTTATGCCCAAAAACGGCAGTCCTAAGTTCACAATTGGAACAACAACGTCAATGCGATATCAATTGCGAGTAATTTATTTTTAGAATATTGAAATAACATAAAACAACTAGAACGTTAACGAAACCAAATACAGAAAAAAATTACGCTCCTTGTAGTTGTTGTTTCCTTTCTTTCATTGTTGACATCTTCTTTCTTTCCTAAAAAGAGAGTTTGTTAAATAAAAAAACATTTTTTTAAAAAGTGCTAAACGAACTAACCAAGCATTTCCGTGAAAAAAATGATTTTTTTAAAAACCTGCGCAAAAAATTGCTCTTATCTTTCTTTTTACGCAGGCGCACTTTTTAGAAAACGCATTTCTCGACAATTGCTCGAGCTATTACTCAAGTAAAAAATTACTCATGCAAATTTACTTTAGTTTAGAGTTTAATTTAGAACACACTTTAGTACGACCATTTGGACTTGTAAAATCCATTAAACTCTTAACTTTAGTGAATGTCCCCGAAGAGCGTTTCAATTACCGACAATAAAGGGATGCGGTCCCGGTTACCAATCATGTGATGCTCCTTCTGCGATTTGTCATCAAAAACCGAGAAACTTGGCAGCAACAAGTTTGACGGATGTCAAATTCTGTGTAAAAGAGCTTTGCGATTTAACCGTTTTGGAAAGAAGAGAAACGTTGGATGGTTGGCATTTATAAAAGTACAAAAAAATCATCAAAGGAGGGACGAATTAAGACCGATTCTCGCTAAATCTAAAAGTTTAAGCCAATTAAACCCAAGTGCCAATTAGTAGATTCGATAAAATGAATAGCGCTTGCCGATTGCCCGACCCTCAAAACCTTCGGGTACAAATTTACAGCTTAAAGCAAAAGAAGAATCATTTCTGCATAAAACTTCATCAAAAAATTATATTATCCGCCGATAATTTGGCTTTAGTTAGAATCGGTGGTCCTAATTTGGATGCCTCGTTTAATGCCAAAAATTTTAGCTCCCAAAAATCAGTTCTTTGCGTCAGCGGTGGATAAAATCGTTTACGAGATGGCCACTGAGAAAAACAGCACTAACGATTGCCCATATTATAGAGGTGACAAAATGACAAAATGTCCTACTTTAAGTCAACCTATAAGCTAGCTTTTCTTTTGAGAGTTGTGTATCAAAAATTTCAGAAGACTACATGGAAGGGTGTATATTTTATGAGGCGTCCCCCGAAAACCCTACAACCCATGTTGGGTTGTCGATACGAAATCAAAGATACATGTTCGAATCTGTTAAGATGAATGTCTTTTTCAAGGGTTTGTTCTTGAGAATATGCTGTTAGAAATGGGGTTTAAGGAGTCTGGGATGAATTGAACGCGTTGACGAACGAATATCTATCAAATCAAGAGCCGCTATTGGTGATCTCCGGCTCATACACAAAGGATGGAGAGTGAGTCGGGAAATGTTTGTTATTAGGCTTTTATTTGGGGTAGGATCAAAAACTTCTGAGTCGGCTGGACAGGGTGATCGCAAAGTATAGCGAGAACTTTTGCAAAGGTATCTGGGAAATGTCTGATTACTTTCAAAAGTGGCAAGTGTTATATAGAGAATTGTAGCCCGAGTTCTCGGCAATATTTATCTACCAAAACCCTTCCCGATTCGACTTATACAACTCATTTAAAAAGCGCTTGAATGAACGCTAGTCGAGATCACTCTGGCGAATCTGTCATTTGATCGCTTTTCTCTATTAAAAATTAAGTCCGATTGAAAAGGTTTTTGGTAGATAAATGTTGACGAGAACTAGGACTACAATTCTCTATATACTGCAATTCTCTACACTTGCCACTTTTAAAAGAAATTAGATATTTCCCAGGTAGTTTTCCAAAAAGTTGTCGCCATACTTTGCGGTCATCCTGTACAATCAAAACTTCAGTTTGCCCACTCATCTCTTCCGAATTCTTCTTTCGTGCGGACCCAAAGATAACTGGAATCCGGTGCTACGGGAATGTGTGGATCAAAATCACTCTCGTGTTCTCTCATTTCTTTTCCCCAATATGGATGAGGATCTGAATTGCATGGTGAGTGGCATTTCATATGATTTTATGTAGGCATTTCATATGATTTTATGTAGGCATTTCATATGATTTTATGTAGGCATTTCATATGATTTTATGTAGGCATTTCATATGATTTTATGTAGGCATTTCATATGATTAACTGGGAAATGTCTAATTTCTTTTAAAAGTGGCAATTGTTATATAGAGAATCCAATAAGTAGTTTTACTAAAGTTTTTGAAACCAAAAGAAAAGTAAACAAAACAAAAAGCGTAGCTTGTACAAAAGTGCCTGAATAATAGAAATATTAAATCTATAGCATTAAAATTGAATTCTCATTCAGGATTCTCGAAAACGTCTTCTCAAGTACACCGCCCGAGTTCGGGACATTGAAGCACTGACAGGGTTGAGATTTTTCCGCAACTCTCTCCCCTATCCACAAATGATTCAAAGAACAACTTTTATCCCGCTAGAACTTTGGTAACTTTCTGCAATTTTTTTTTCAATATTTTCTCTTCCACTCAATCTCCGAAGTGCTATTACTTTTATGACGGGTCTTAGCTGTGTATCTGATAAACTTTGATAATTTATTCACTCATGTACAATCAAATTCAAAATGTACAAACAAAAACGGATGAGATCGGCAGCGGGAAGGGAAAGCACCAAGAGACCGGCCAGGAAAGTTGGCGATGACTGAAATTAGTAGTATTTTGAAGTAGTATGGGCTGAAAAAGATAATTTTTTAAAAAAAAATACTAATTATTATTGTCTAAATACTATAGAAATATCACAGAAAAGTGAATAAATAAGTACGATAAACATTCTCGAAACTGACCTCTTCAAAAATCTTTTCAATATCGTAGAAATGAGTAGTGCCGTTCATGAGAAGGCATCGAATGGCTGGAATTTGTTGAATAAAAATCTTATTGCAATGGAAAGTATAGCTTTTTTTGTTTCCAGGATAAGAATGAGAAAAGCGCATAAAAAGTGAAAAGATGCAAGCGAGAAAAGGCTAGTGTGACGAGTTTTGAACTAGTTGAGGGAATATCTGTTTTTGACACCGAAAAGGATTAAATATTTGCCTGGCAAGGTCATAGTTGGTCGTTCGAGGTCATAGTTGCGGTAATGCAACCGATCTCAATAATTTTTTTTTCTGGAATAAACTTTTGTCATGCTTTCCTGCAGTGGTGTCCATTATCTATTGATGTTCTCAGCTTTTTATAGGAGCTACCAAAGTTCAGAGTCACACATCGGCCGGCACGCAACTCATTTTAAAGGTTCTTGGTCATCAAATATGCCAAAATTGTTTTCTTTTACAAAATAAGGCATATTTGCAATTTTGGCATATTTGATGACCAAGAACCTTTAAAATGAGTTGCGTGCCGGCCGATGTGTGACTCTGAACTTTGGTAGCTCCTATAAAAAGCTGAGAACATCCATAGATAATGGGTACCGCTGCAGAAAACCATGTAAAAAGTTTATTCCAGAAAAAAAATTATTGAGATCGGTTGCATTACCGCATCTATGACCTCGCAAAAGTGATTTCAGGTAATTATGACGCACCCTGTATGAAGTAATTAAGTGTAAATAGGTGTTTGTGGACAATGACTGAGAAATGAAAAGCAGATTGATTTCAGGCCAAGAGCTGGGTATCTAAACACTGAGCCGAGTACTATGAAAGCTAAAGCTACGTTAGAAACCTTAAAATTGAGTCATAAAGCTTTTTTTACTAAATTTAATTTAATGATAAACGGTTTGGCTGAGAATTTCTAAATAAAATCGATAGGGAAAAGTTTAAGGGGAAGAGGGTGGTCTCGTGGGGCAAAAAGGTCGACAAACAAACGCCAAACAAACGCCTTCCACACAGCCGCACCAAATTGTTGCCCGTAAACGTGAATCAACATAGTCAAATCATTTTTATTGTGCTGGCAATACGATTATAAATTTAGCGAATTCAAAAGTGAATCGATGTCATACTTTTGACGTTGATAGGATTGCAAAAATGTTTTTGCCCAAAATGGTCCTATCAAAAATGACTAAAACGTGATTTTTTCGATTAAAAAGTTCATGTTATTTAAGTCATCCCAAAAGCAAACAAATTTTTGGGAATAAAATCAATAGGGAAAGTTTAAGGGAAAGAAAGTGGTCTCGTGGGGCAAAAAGGGAAGAGGGTGGCCCAAAATGTTCCTACCAAAAATCACTAAAACGTGATTTTTTCGATCAAAAAGTTCATGTTATTTAAGGCATAACAAAAGCAAACAAATTTTTGGCTTTTCAAAATACTAGTAAATTTATTAGGTCTATTAAATGAGAAAGATTTTTAGCGTAAATCCAATTTTCACGTGTGAACTGTTTTCCATTTGCGCTTGAGCACCAGAAAAAGATGTTGAAATAGAGAACGACGTAATTTTTGAAAAAAAGCCAAAAAGGGACACGACCTGTCGCCAAAAAATTAGCCATTTCCCTTTTTTGGAGTTGAAAAGGCCTCAAACAACAATGATTCTTTGAAATTTCATCGAAAAATCCGTAAACAACGGAAATTTGTTCTGTTTTCAAGGGAAAACGAATGAATTCTTGGAGTATTTTTGGTTGAAATGAAAATTTCAAAATGATGATTAACATTTTCGTAATCTTTTTGACAAACTGAGATTTTTGAGAGTTTTTTTGAGAGAGATTCTCTGCACTATAACATGATAAACACTGGTTAAATTGCGAAAACAAAATAGGAACAGAAAAAACAAAATAGGAACAGAAAAACAAATTCGAAATCACTTCAAGTAGGAGCTAAAATATGGAAAGTTGAGCAGAAAGCAATCTTTGTTACAGTAAATTCGTAAACACACTGAAGTTAACTGAAATACACAGCACAAAACTTTCAGCAAAACACTCGCTTTAGCTAAATTTTATCAAATGAAGAGTCTTTGTGCACTTTTTTTCCTTGCAAATATTGATTTTAAGCAGTTTTGCAATGAAAATATTGACGAAATTCCATTATTTTCTAGCAAAACTGCTTGAAATCAATTATTTATTTGTCGAAAGAAATCTTTTGAGCTAACAGTTAATCCGAAAATTGATCCTCGACAGGCAATTAGCCAATCCAGCTGGGGCCACGTGAATATGAAAGACTCAAGGGTAAAAGGGCACAGAGCCAGAAAACTGGCTTTTCATTAGAAATAAACTTTAACTCGATCTTGTTCAGACTTTTCCATTCCGGGATCAATGCAATGTCTAAGTAAAACACTTTCAATTAATCCTCAATGCTGATAATTTTGCTGATTTGAGCTTTGGTGTGATAAAGTTCATAATAAATAGGGTGAAAACGCTTTATCGTCAAGTGATTCACCACGCTAAAACTTATCACATAAAAGCAACTAATCACAGCCAAAAAAACACAAGAGAACAATCAAAAGTCGAAAGTGAATCATAAAGAAAAAAAAAGGCACGTCATTTCGTAGTGGAAACGAGGGGTAGGCTAATTTCCGCCATTTTATTTGCGCAACAGGGTAATTTGCGCAAGTATCGCAAAGTTTCCGATCCCACCATGGAATAAAGGAAAATGAAAAGAATGGCAAAAGAGAATTTTTGTGCGGGGTACGGTAGCGCATCCACGCTTTAGAAAGCGCACCGCTCTGCTTTCGCGCCAGTCCCTTAAAAACGTCAAAAAAGTTGCGCAAATGACCCTGTTGCGCAAACGTACTTGCGCAAATAAAATGGCGGAAATTAGCCTACCCCGGAAACGAAACGTAGAGAATACTCGCACACTGGAGCATTTTGTAGACCCGATTTTGCTAAAGATTGGGGGAAACGACTACGAAAATTGAGTGAAGCTTGAGGTTTTGCTTCGTGTGAAGAATTAAGAGCTAAATAAATTCTAATTTAAAAAATAAGATGGACACAATTTCTAAAAATTTCAACTCTTCTTCTATTCCAGTAGATTTCAGTTCAGTTTGTGTTCTCCTGGGAGCTTGACTCCTCCGGGATCGCTTCCAACATTGGTGCTTCTATCTGAAAACTCTTTGGAAGTTATCACAAGATTTTAAAAGCAAAAGAGAAATCAATTTAATAAAATAACAAAAAAAACTCACATCTTTGCCATTACTTTTTGTCTTTTTCGTTTTTTCTTTTTCACGTTTCTCTAAAAATCGACCAAGCGGACCGGGATCGAACGCGTCGAGATCTTCGGGTAGCTAGAGTTTAAGATTTAGTTTTATTGTTAATAAAAATCAACGTTTAAGGCTTGACTTTAATTTTACTTAAGCCTTTTAATCACCTTTTTATCCTTTGTCTCTGGCATCAAGAGAATGCAGAAAGCGGCGATGAAAGAGGTGACGGCAATGAGGAGATTTGGGGCAGACGCATGAACGGCTTCCTGAAAATTCATTCAAAATGCATAAATTCTTGATTAAGTCAAAATTTTCAAAGTCTTATTTACAAGACAAAACCAAACCAATCGCTTCAAATAGGGAGCGATCACCGATCCGATATCACCGAGAAAAGAAACCACTCCAGAGAAAGCATTGCTGAAATGAAAAGCTGGTAAAACCAATTGGACTTTTTAAAAACTCTACTTTAACTTATGAGTGTTGTAGTTGAAAAGCCAAAGCTTAAAAAGAATATCCATTTATCTCAAAATGAGCTCACCGAACAGTCGTTGGTGCCAACTCAGACAAAATCAACGGTTGCACGCCCCAGGCGATAGAGTTAAAGCATTTACCGGCTAGCGGGAAAATCATGAGAAAATTCTTGGATCCTGGAATTTTAAAGGTAGTGATGTCAATGAGTTTTGAGTTTACCTGGTAGATAAGTGGCTAACAATAGAGAGACACCGGTGAGGAACAAAGACCAAAAGGAGACAGCTTTCCGTGAGAAAACCACCATTAGCCAAGTGCCAAGGATACCTAAACGGCCTTGTGAACTTTTGGCAATCTCAAATTCAATTCGGAACTAGCTCAAGATTTGTTACACTTTATGCCAACCTAAATGCACCTTGGGTTGTGTTTTTGTGGAGGTAAATTTACCAAACCAAACCTAAACACTTGGTTTGATTTTCCCAGAAACAAAGTCAATAATGATAATCTCGTAGCTAGGCAAGATAGGTAAATAAAGATTTAGATGCCGTAATTCTTCTATTAGAACGACATGCTTCAATAGAATGACAGTTTTTGAAGATATTGAAAAATAGAACGACTGTGGTGAATAGCCACTAAAAAGTTACCTAACTCTGGCAGCCTAAAAATTGGAAAAATATTGAGGAATCGGTTCATGTTTAAACGCCCCAAATCATTTATTGTTTTGTAGCTTGTTAGCTGAGTATCTTGTGTTAAAGCCTATATAAGGCAACTGTTGTTCATTTGTTTTTTGGTTATCTTTCATTTTTTTTACTGCTTTCCTCTCATCGTGTGAAAGTTGTGTCCTAATTAGGACGAAATTGTTTCTGTTTTTATCGTCACTTTTAATTCAATTGTCGATCTTGTGTGAAAATTACTCAAGTGAGAGCCCAAAAATTCCGAGTCAGTCGGCTATTGAATAAAGTGTCTTAGTTCAAGTGAGATCAGATATCTCGAAACAAGAAATAACGTGTCTTGAGTGAAGAGTACCAAGCACGCAAAGAATATTTCTTTACAACGACATTCTTTTTAACATACCAAACATTTTTTTTCAAAGCACATACCAAACCTTATTTTTCTTTCCTATTTTTGTTTACTGTTTTTAATATTCTTTATTAATGTTCTTTTTTAGGTATGCTCGATTTGAATGAGGATTTGCAAGAAGAGAATCAAGATGATGTTTAAAAAGTAGATGCAAGTGGTGAAGAACAAAACGCTGACGATGCAGAAGATGCAGTTAGCAATGCTCTTTCGAGATCTAAAGGAAGAAAGCGTCGAGCTTTTGATGCTTTAACTAAATTAGAAATCATTAAGTATGCAAAGGAAGCATCAAAACGATTTGGAGTCACAAGGTCAACGATAAACTGGTTGGAGACAAGAAAGTAAGCTTTGAAAAATAGAACGATAGTTTTTTGAAGGTATTGAAAAATAGAAAAATAGAAAAATCAAGAATTACGGTATCTGTTTAAAAATATCAAAATTCCCCACCAGCTGGTAACTCGACAAAGCCAGAGAGGAAAAACCCGGTCATCTTCTCATCAGAAAGTTCAGTGGAGAAGAGAGAAAGCGCCCAATAAGTCCCACTCATTACAATGCTAAAATTTCGTTAAAATCCGCAAAAGATCATTTCCTTACTAGACCCAAGAGTTAAGACAAAGCTGGATGAAAAGTCCTTTGTGCTGGAAACAGTCCAGCATCGTTCGCTTTGGTTTTTCATCGAGAGAGATTTCCTCGTCGCTCAACTTGCAAGATGACAACGAGAGTTGATGTCGATTCACTCGATTTGCTGCTGTGATGTATCTGAATAAAGAAATGATTCGTTTTTAGGACAATTAACACAACAAACTTTTTGACTCCAGCATGCTTTTTGTTTGTGATCAGCCAATGAATCGATTCGGGAGTGTACCTGAAAGATTAGCCAACCTTTTTACAATATTTTATTGATAACTTCCCCAATTAGCTTTTCCAAGACTTACCAGATTAGTGGAATTGTCAACACTCCAGGGATAGAGATCGCAAAATAGAGCCATCTCCAATTAGCGATGAACAATTTGAACACTCCGGCCATCAAATAGCCGACCACCTGTAAATTGTTGAGCTTTGGTTACTTGAGGATTGTAAATAACGGTTTATAATGCTTCCAATTTACCCAGAATATAGCAGGAAGTGCGGGGACGAGATCGCGGAATGAGGTTGACACTGATTCTGTACAAAGAATGAAAGCCGTATTCACAAAACCCTAGAAATATCTCTTGGAGGAAACAAGAGGCGAAATTGTAGCAAATCAATTTACCGTAGTTCCAAATCCCGCCAAAATCGCAGCAGCAAAAAGAGAAAATAGTTGGGCACCCAAGCGGCAATGAGGTTGCAGACAACAGATAAATAGAGTGCTCCCAAGAACATCGCTTTCCTGCCCATCATATCAGAGAGTTGAGTGATCACAGGTGAGGCGATCATTCCGCCTAAAATTCTAGAGTTAAAGTTTGAAGATTTGTCTCGTAGCTTATAAGCTAATATGGCTGAATATCTTGAATCGATAAACTCACTAGACTTTTAACGAAAATCTCTATCGCTCCTCTTTTTGCCGTTAGCAATTTAAAGTTTTTCGTGTTTTTCTCAGCATCAACCCTTTAATTTTGATTATTTTGACTATCATTCGACGCAGAATAAAGTTGTGCATCGAATGATACTAAAATGAACTCAAAATGTAATATCCACGCAAAATTATGAGGCAAAAGGTTAAGTCCCGCTTATAATGGGCGGGGTTTCGATTTTTGTCAACAACCTTGTGTGGATATTATATTAGGTTGATGCATAAGTGTTTTTGTTCCTTTTCGTCTGCCGTTTCAAGCCAACAAATGCACGAATTAAACTACGGTTGATTTCATTAGAAAAACCAATTATTTTTCTGCAAAATAACATTAAAACGGGTTTAAAAATATTTTATGCCTGGATTTTCTTGAGAGTATGAAGTCGGGTAGTCAAAAAGGGCTAACTCGATGATGCGGTTTAGACACCTTAGCTAAAGAAAACCTATCTTCGTGTCAATAGATAAAAGATAGAGAAAAAAAAGTTTGATATTTCGCCAAAATTTCAGAGAAATTCATTCAGCCAATTTTTCCGTAGAGTTTTTTATAGATTTTTACGAAAAAGGCGTTTTTCACTCTCGAATTTGCTTGAAAGTGAACCGAAATTGATTTAAAAAGATGCAAATTGAACAAAAAAACACTTTTTTTATAGAGCAAACTATAGATTAATTGGTGAATTTGTTACTTTTTAACAGAAGTACGAAAAAAACGAAAAGACTTTTGCATCAACCTATTATTTAGAGTTGATTTTCGTATCATTCTAGGCGCAATTTGATTCTGCATCGAATGATATTCAAAATAGTTAAAATCGAAACGAAAAACCTTAAATTGTCAACGGCAAAAAGAGGGCCGACAGATGTTCGATCAGACAAATTCGAGCAGACAAAACAGACAAGTCTATTAGGGTGGTGCAAAAGAAACTGCCGATGGGTATCAGCTCTCATTTATCAGAAAAGGAGCGATGCTAACGGTATTATTTTATTATGGTTTTGTTCGCATATTTGTTTGCTATTTATTTCGACATTTGAATTTTTTGGTTGTTGTTTATTTTATTTTAAAATCCTTATATTTTTTATTTAGATCATGGTCGAGCAAAAGTTTTTGCTACGAGCAGCATTACTGTTTAACTTCAAAATTGGAAAGTCTGCTGCCGAATCGCATCGTTCTCTCTGTGCTGCTTTGTGCTGTGATGGCAGTTTGTCTCTCAGGCAGTGTCAGACTTGGTTTCAACGATTCCAAGAGGGAGACGAGACTTTGGAAGATTACGAGCAGAAGTCCAGAAGTTCGAGGCCAGAAGTCGTGAACGAGGCCAAGCTGAGGGACGCTATTCAGGCCGATCCATGCCAATCTGCTCGAGATCTTGCGAAAATATTCCATTGTGATCATGTCACCATCGAACGCCATCTTTTTTTTTTGAATTTACCGTCAAATCGGCAGTTTCTTTTGCACCATCATAATAGATCTAGAGATCTAGAGATCTCCGTTCAATGCAATCCACAAAATTGCCTTCTGTTTTGTGATCGGATGTTTTCCACATCAACACACACAACTCACCAAACAAGAAGATCGACGAGGCGTGCTCGGTTGATTCGTAATCGTTACAAACGAGATCGAACTGAAAGTATTGTAAGTTTAAATTCAAATTTATGAAAGAATAAGTGAAAGTATAAAGTATAATTACTAGATAAGTGCTAAATGATTCAAATCGAATACCTCAGAAGCGATTGATTCATGAATCGTTGTATTGTAGACATATTTCGAGTTTGGGATCGCTTCACACTGTATGTGCCAATCGTTAAGATCTTTCATCGTACATTTGTCAAATGGTTCGTAGAGCTAAATCAGTGAAATAAATAAAGCTAAATAAAGTGTTAAAATAAAGTTTAATCTAATCGCTTTTAACCAAAAAAAAGCGGAAAATTAACATGAATAAAATGTAGATTTAGATTTAGAAAAGATTTCTAAAACTAACCGTTTTATTCCCCTTTGGAATCTCACATAGAAACTCTGGATCTTCAGTGATAAATGGCATCACCATCATGTTCATCGCGTAAAGCAAAATGACGACATTCGTAAGAAAATAGACAATCATCTGAAGATTTTGTTTTGAAGGCTGCTCTTTCGCAGATAGCTGGTTCTGATCACTGGTTAAAGTGATCAGAACAAAATTATTATTCAATTCTTTTGGTAATTGCTTGACAAATCCAATTTGATACTTGATTACTTGATATGTTCCATATTTTCCATATGCGTTGAGAATTTTGTCGGCGTCGAGATGTAAATAGGAGCCCATCGTATTCGAGCGACTTCGTTGATTGGGTAAAACTTCAGGCAACTAAAGGGAAATTTGTGAATTTCATGTCTTTAGTTGTCTTTCATTGCTTTAGCTTTCCTCAAATCTATTAATTTGTAGAAATACTGGAAATGTGAAAGTTCAGCTGCTTTTTCTCTCCAATATGTGCAATATTTTACCTGTGTGTCGGATGTTTTGTGGTCATTTTCCATTTCATTTTTCATTTCATCGAAGAGAATCGAGTTTTATGCGAAAAGTTGATCGATCTATAAAGCAAATACCGTATTTTCTGTAATATTAGTGCAATCTATAATAGTAGTGCAGGCTGGAGGAGGGTTGAAAAAGTAGTAGTGCGCACTACTATTACAGAAAATACGATAACAAGAAAAATGTGTTCAATCAAGTGAAAAGAAACCTAGAAAATAGTTAACACACAAAAAAACTCGACATAGCAAAAATATCCTTTCAAACGAAATTCCATTTTGATTGCTTTCATTTGGTTGGATTACGGGGTGGTTGATGGATAATGACAGTTAGTACAAAATAGAATTGTTCTTTGCGCATAAAACTCGAAACACAATTTGTCTAGCGCACATAACTCTTAGTTTTGATTTAAAATGAGTTAATGTTGTGTGAACCTTCAAAATTAGCGAACGAATGAAAGAAAGCACAGAAAAAGCTGATTTACTTCTTAAATTTGATTACGGGGGTGTACTTTGAGCTCGGAAATGGAAAAGCACCTTTTCTAGTGTACCCAAGTTGCTTTTCTTCAAATCTTTATTTCCAATTTGTCTAGTTTTAAGGCACAGAACTCTTAGTTTTGATTTAAAATGAGTTAATGTTGTGTGAACCAATCTCTGAATTGGGTATGAACCAATCTCTGAAAGGAAACAAGAGGAAAAATAAGAAGAATTTCAAAAATTGATAAGTGAACCGAGAAATCTGTCGATTTTTTCTCTCTTTAGTGATTATTGCAAGGGAATCCGCTTGTTTCGCGAGGGTTTGGGTCCAAAAAAAAGCGAACAAATGAAAAAAATGCACAGAAAAAGCTGATTTAAAATGCAGCATTGAGTGTACTAGGAAATTGCTTACAAATTTGAGCATAAAATGCACAAAAAGCAAATTCTTGTAAGCTTTAAAAGAAAATTTAAAAGAATTGTTGAAATTTAAAGGCTTTCACTGAGCAGAGCCCAGTATCAGTAAGGAAAAAAGAAAAAAAAAGTAGACAAACGCGAAAAATGAATGTGAGAGTGTCTCCTTGTAAAAATGATTGATAGATGCCAAATCAAAAATATTTCTGGGGGTTTTGAAATGAGAAATTTGTTCAAAAAGAGGAATTCGAGCTGAAGAAAAAGAAGAAATTGGCTAAAAATGCGAATTGCAAATTGCAACGTAAGATACTTTTTGGTGCTCGAACTATATAGTGCTCGAAAAAATAGAAACGCGGTAAAACAAGCTTGAAGTTGAAAGTTGAAAGTTTAGGGTTGAAAGTTGTTCACTGTGGCAAGTAAATAAACCAAATCAAGATCTTCCCATGTTTTGATCAAGGTTTTCTTGAACGAATCGATAGTTTTATGCGGCTTTGCACAAGCTTTGGCTTCAAGCACTGTTCAGACACTGTAATCAAGTGAATTCAAGTCTTGGGACATCGATGGTCACTCATTAAAGTTGATTAGATCGGGAAAATTGTTGCCACACCAATCCTGCACCACTTTGACCTTGCGAAAGCTAAACTAAGGCCAACCATCCTGTTGATAAGTCCATTGTACGAGTTGAAGATCACAAAAACAAAATCAACTTAAAACAACGCTTAAGCTGATCACTTTTTCGGGTAACAAAATGCAAAAACAGTGTGTTCATTTCAGTAAAAACAAATCGACATAGAGAATGAGGTGAAAATAGCTTAAAGAAAGTGAAAAAAGAGAGAGTTTTCAATAAATTATTGATAATGAATAACGATGAAGGGAAAAGGTACTTTATCATGGAAGGAAGTGCAAGAAATTTCATCTTTTTGGGGGTTTTTGAAATAAAGACAAACGAGTGAGTGGGTATGAAACAATCTCTGAAAGGAAACAAGCGGAAAAATAAGAAGAATTTCAAAAATTGATAAGTGAACCGAGCAATCTGTCGATTTTTTCTCTCTTTAGTGTTTATTGCAAGGGAATCGTTTCGCGAAGGTTTGGGTTCAAAAAAAGCGAACGAATGAAAAAATGCACAGAAAAAGCTGATTTATTTCTTAAATTTGATTACGGGGGTGTACTTTGAGCTCAGAAATGGAAAAGCACCTTTTCTAGTGTACCCAAGTTGCTGTTCTTCAAATCTTTATTTCCAAAACATTGTTGTGAGAAAAATGAAGAATTCTGTGTGGCAGAAAGTGTAAGCTTTCAGCGTAAAGTTTCAGAGTTTGGAGAAAGAAGAAAGAAGAAAGAAGAAAGAAGAAAGAAGAAAGAAAGAAAGAAAGAAAGCAAAAGAGAAAGAAAAGAAAAGGGAAACTTTTGCATAAGCACAGTTTTGATGAAAATTTATCTATCTACCTTTAAATTTACCTATCTATTTACCTAGATTTGCATTTAAAACTATGTTTACAAGTCACAAATCCTATTCAATACAAAGAAAATGTTTGTTTCCAGTTTTGAGCATAAAAATACAAAAAAAAAAGAGGGAATGGGACAAAATGCTACCTTTTTTTTGCGCACCCGACACTTTGCGCCCCTTTTTCCGCACCTTGCCCATTAGCGCACCAAAAGCTCTAAAAGCTAATATTAATCCAATTTCTATCCCAAAAGTTGTTTTTCTGGGTAATTTTAGGGCGTAGAATCGGAATTTTGACATATCAGAGCGTGTGGAACCAATTTGAAAGACAAAACGGCTAGATCAAATCACAGATTGTCAAATTGTCGATTTTTCTCTTTGTATAACTCCATCCGTTTGTTTCCACAAGCTCTGATATGTCAAAATTTCGATTCTACGCCCTAAAATTACCTAGAAAAACAACTTTTGGGATAGAAATTGATTAATATTAGCTTTTTAGAGCTTTTTTAAAATGCGAAAAAAGGTGTGCTAATGGGCAAGGTGCGGAAAAAAAGGTACGCAAATGTCCGGGTGCGCAAAAAAATAGAGAAGTTTAGAGTTTAGGGATAGTCAAAAAAACATAAATTTGTCAATCTGTCAAAGCTAGCGAAATTTCCTGGTGTTGAAAATGATTAGAGACAAGTTGTGTTCGATTTGCTCGTCCTTTTCCACTCCCAGTCAATCTCTTCTCTCTTTTTCCAATTTATGGTGTCTGCTATGGGGTAAAAATGATAAGAAAACCCCCTCATTTATTTGCTTTCGGTCTCTCTGGATAAAGTTTAACCACCTTTCAACAGTTTCGTTTGTATTTTCACCGGTTTCATAGCTATTTTTCCGGTTGTTTATGATTTATAACATTTTAGAGATTTCTGCATTGGGTCAACGGTTGGATTCATTGTGTTTTTCACTTAAAATGATTTTTCCTCTCCTTTTCCTGTGTACCTCTATCACAGTTTAAAAAGTAAAAAAATTTTATGCAAAAATAGACCCGTTTGACCAGAGTGAATACACCAAAAAAATGACCAGATGTAAAGTATGAGAAGAATTAGGTAAGGAAACCGCTTCAGAAATCACAGATGACAATTATTAATGAAACAATAGTTTACAAATATGTGTAGACTTAAAAAAAACAAAGTTAATCAAGACGTGTAATAAAGATCATCAAAAGAAAGTGGACCTAGGAGATTTGTTCGAATGAGAGATGAGGGTGATGGTTCACCATGTTCCGCCATTTCTTTTTCCACCACCGGAATAAATGAAGCTCTTCGTTCCTAAAAATCATTCGATTATAAATCATTCTAAACTTTTCTACACTCCAGTTGTTGAAATTTTCGTGCCAATCTAATATTTCTAATATGTGATGATTCAAATTTCATGAATCCGACCAGGATCTTTATACGGTTATCGTGAGGAGCGAGTTTTGACCATTTTTCTGCCCGATTTTACATAGACTTTTGTTAATAACTTTTGATGAAACAAATAGTTTCTAAAAGTTGACATTCTAAGCTATCTAAATCTTATTAAAACTTTCTGATCTCACAAGTTTAAGGTGCTCAAAAATGTGTTGCAAGTTGGGCAAAAACTCGGCCGCCCGATAATCGCTTGACCCCTCCGTAAAGCACGTAAAGTCATCTTCTAAAAGAATAGAAAGCTTTCCATTCTTGTTTATTTTTAGAAAAATGGCATTTTTATCTTTCTACAGTATTTATAAAAGTATTCAGCTACTAAAAAGTTTTTCGGATTCAATCGAAACTGAATACTTTTTCTTTGGAAATACTGTAAATGAGTTTTCTGAAATATCTGTTTAAACTCTGTTCAGCTTTTGATTTGATCGTTTTACTCTAGTATTCTTCTATTACAATCACAACAAGTTCACTGAACTGAATACTGAAAAAACATTGAAGTAATAAGAGAGAAGAAGTGAGGAAGTGATGTGGGAATCAAAATTCACACTTAATTCTCCTAAAATTTCAAAATTTACAAAGAATTTCAGAGAAATTGAATGTGAATTGGTGATTTTTATTGTGAGAAAACAATATACCGCATCAATGTCTGCATCTTCGGCAAATCGCACTTGGGGAGCCTTGAGATTAAAGTTTAGGACAAAAATTGCATAATTTTTTGAAACTCTTGCGCATATATCATTTAATTTTATCGAAATCTTACCTTCTTTATGTTCGGATTTTGTTTTTCTCGGTAACTTTGCGAGTGTTGCAGTGGAGTCGACTCTGTGATCTCGTCAACGGGAGTGTGCACGAGAACCGTTGGCTCTTCAAGGTTTTCCACAGTTACTAGGGTTTCTCGAATGATTGGTCGATCTGAAAATTGTATTATTTTATTATTTTATTATATATATATACCAGAATCACCAAAAAAAAAAAAAAAACCCAAACAACTATACAAAAATAAAAATAAAAAAAAGACAACAACCCAAACAAACAAAGATAATTAAACAAAAAAAATATAATAAATAAAAAAAAAAAAAAATGAAAAAAAAAAAAAAAACAAAAAAAAAAATAAAAAAAAAAAAAAAAAAAAAAAACCCAAAACAAAAAAAAAAAAAAAATAAAACAACGACAAATATATATCATAGATTAAAAGAAGTTATTACATTTGTAAGTCTTTAAAAACTGTTCCAAAGCAGCCACTGAAATCCTTTATTACGAGCCGTACTTTGTGCTCAAAAATAGAATCAAAATTCAGGTAAAAGACAGATTACGGTAGGTTTTCCTATGGTTTATCTTCTTTTGCTGACTTCAATGCTCACCGGTCATTTGCAAGCTCCCATTCGCGCCTCCGAAACCAGCGATTTTTCCTCCATTCATCGGCTGTCTCTCAATTTGCACTTCTTCCATGACTTCCGTTTTCAACTGTCCCATATCTTTTGTCCTGATCATCTTTGAGACCATACCTAAAAATTGCGAATTTCTGCTGAAAAAATATTTCCATGCATTTTCAAATAAAAAAAATCAATGAATTCGGGGGTAAATTGTGAGTTCAACGAGCGTACAAATGTGTATTTAAAACTTGTCAAAATCGAGAACTTACTTGCAGTACTGTCTTCTAAAAGTAGTAATTTAAAAGTTTAGTAACTAATAGAGTTAAAACAAACTTTTAGTTTTTGGGCTCTGGTTTCGGAGGTGGTGGCGGGATGAGTAAAGGAGTTCGCTTCGGTTGGAAGAGAGTCGGTCGACGCATGCACGAGAAGGACACACATGCCGAAGAGGAGGAAGAAAACTGGAAAATTTATGTGATAGTAATATTAAAATATTAGAGCTAATTCTGAAAACAGCATGGAATTTTAGGCAGCAATGTCTCAACTAGGTCTCATGGCCTGCAGGTCCAGTCGAGAGCTGGCTTCAGGCTTGGCTTCTGACCTGCCTAGTCTGAAAACTTCCCTTTGGAATGACTCAGATTCCGTTGGCGATTGATCTACTTTAGATTTACTATATAGAAAGAGGAGCCTGAGCTCTTAAAACAAAATAAAATCGTTTAAACTGATTTTCAGTTCTGTTTAGCATTCTTATACAAGATGAAAGTTCTGTCTTTTTTTTAAATTCTTGAAAACTGGTTTAGAGAACGAAATTTGACAAACGACCCAGCTAAAAAGCGGTATTAGCTCACATAATACTAAAAAAAAAGTTTTTGAAGCCATACTTGAAAACTTTTCGTATCTTCATCAATTTATATAATTGGCCTAGTGTAAAAGAATTGTGTAATGTGGAAAATTTGTTTTTTGAATGTTTTTTTTTCAATCAGGTTTGCCATTAAACTTTCCCTTGAACTTCCACAATTTTTAAGCTCGATTAACAATTGTTTAAGACTCTCAAAATCGATAATTTCAAAAGCAATATCTGACTATATAAAGTATAGTTTTTAGAGAAAAATCATTCTTCTTTCAGATAAAAGTTATCAAAGTTTACTTTTAAAGAAACCAAAACTGGTTTAGAGAACGAAATTTGACAAATGACCCAGCTAAAAAGCGGTATTAGCTCACATAATACTAATAAAAAAGTTTTTGAAGCCATACTTGAAAACTTTTCGTATCTCCATCAATTTATATGATTGGCCTAGTGTAAAAGAATTGTGTAACCATTCTAATTTTAGACATTTTCAGCTTGTAAAAGTTTTAATTTAGAGAGAAATCTTCTAAAGTGGATCGAACTTTTCAGAAACTCTGTATTTCGAATTACATTCTATTGTTACAATATTGTTAAGTAGAAAATAAACTCAAACGACAAAATTTCAACTCACCCACACAAACGCCATTCATCAGAAAGAAGCCGATGAGCATCGGAATTTCGGAATCATTTTGATTGTAGTCGAGTGAGGCCATCTTTTGCGAGACGATCGTTCCGCTGAAATTTTCAAATAAACCGCGATTCAATTAAATTTTTTTAGATAGGTGTGAAATCTTGATCTGCTCTACGACTTAGATTGTTGGCAAAAGGGCAGCAAACAATCGATTGACAATTAGCCTCTTCGGTAGATCGTGATGGGGCGAATATTGAGAGAGGAGCCCTTTTGGGTCGATTTTGGGTCGATTTTGGGTAGCTTTTGGGTAGCTTTTGGGTCGATTTTGGGTAGCTTTTGGGTACTTTTATTTTATAAAATTAAAACAAAAACTCTTATCTTACTTAGCGTGGGGCATTTACAAAAGGAAAATTGCCTGAAATTGCCTCAAATCTTGAGAGAAATTTGCTTGTGAACAAGAATTTGTTTATATAGGGAAAATTCCCCCAAAAACGCAAGAGATTAGCGAGCACAATGGGGGATTTTTGAAAAGAGGAAAACGAAAAAAAATTAATAGAAACGTCACAAAAGATCGAGAAAAAAACGAGTAAAGTTTTGAAAATTCAAAGTTTCTCGAATTTTTAGCTGTAAAAATCGATCAAAACCGAAGATTCACCAAAAATAGAAACTTTTCTTTTGGCTGAGTGCAATGATGATCAATAAATCTTTGCCTCTTTTTCGCTGCAATGCCAACAAATGGCCCTAATCATTTTGGAAGACGAGAAGACGAAAAGAGAAATTGAAAAAGATTTTAGAGGCACAATCAGTCACACATTATCGAGAGAAAGACCACCAGAAAGGGACACCTGATGGAACAAAAGGAGGCGGTATGGCCGGATGCTTTTTGAGTTTGTTTTTGATGATAAACCCAGAAGCTGTTTTTCCCCGAGTTGTGCTAAAAAATCGAGTCATAATCGAGCAATTGTTAGCAATTAGTCTTTTAGTTACTTCGATATTGTTCAGAAGTTATCTCTGAATCAAATTTTTGAGTCAAAAAATAAACGAATAGGGGCAAGCTGAGCTGTTAAGATCGAAATTGGCGAAGAAAAAGGAAAACATCAGTCTTGACAGCTGATGCTGCAAGTTTAATTAAAAGTCAAAATTCTTTTGGTGTATTTTGTGACGATATTGAACATATTTTTGTTCAAAAACTAATAGGAAAAGAGCTTTCAATTGAAATCCAAATCAATTTCATTCTTCTGCACTCAACAATTACAGGAAATTAGATGAAAGGCAAGAAAAAAGATTCAGTAATGCTGAAGGAATTTTAGAAAACGCGTTTCGTTTTTCTTTCGAATATTGGCCTTTCGATATCTGGAATTTGAATCTGGATTGAAATTTGGATTGAGGAAATGGAAATATTCAAAAATAAAATCTGCGAGAAGCCACAAGAAATGTAAAAGTACCCTAAAGTCGCGAGTATAAGTTCTGTTTGGTTTTCGCATGCAAATTGACGGCTGTCTCCGGTGCGGTGTGTCGAGGGTTCGAACCCCGCTGCAGCATAACTTTTTTGCTTTTTAAGAACAATAATAAAAGTTTATATAACAATAAAAATGTATAAAAACCGAACAAAAAGAAATTCAAAGCAATTAAAGCGACATAAAAAAGAATTCTGTGCTTAGCTTCGAAACTGTTTCATCCGTCAAAGCTCTTCGAAAGGTAATAGGAAAAAAATCTTTCAAATGAAATCCGAATCAATTTCATTTTTTTGCCAGATACGATTTGTTTTCGTGAACATTTATAAGTTTAGAATTCAGAATTTCAAAAGGAAATGATGAATAAAAGATGTGATTTTAAAGAAACAAGAAAAAAAAAGTTGAGTTGGTAAAGAGGGATTGGTGAGAAGGGGAGAACGGAAGCAATTGCCCCCCTTGAGGCCACACATGGGTACAACAATTGAAAGAGACAAAAAAAAGGAGAGAAAAATGAAAGAAAGGATTGACAGAGAAAAGAAGGAGAATGGAAGAATGAAAGAAAAGGATTGACAAATGGCTTTCATGCATAAGACTCTCAAAAAAGGAAACGTTTTTAAGTGGTGTTTAATCAAATCTTGTATAGATTTTGTATACGTATGTGTTTCCTTTGACATCCTTTATGATACAATTAGAATAGTTGATGATACAATTGGAATAGTTGATGCAATTGTTTTTAACAATTTCTTTAAACAGACAAACTACTAAGTAATTCATTTCACAACAAAATTTCGACAACGAATTTGACCAAAGAGAAACAATGGTTTGAAATGACGAACAAAATATGGTCACGATAGTTTGCACGGTAGTTTGCACTTTCAAAAACACTTAAGTTAACAAATAAATGATTTGTGGGAAATGATTTAAAAGAACTATTATATTCCCAACAGTAGAAAAACCTTGTCCACGAATTCCTCATTTTTTTCTGTTGGCTGGGCTTGGCGATTATTCATGCTCAAGGGATTTTATGATCAAAAACCTTTAAAAGAGAGAAATGTTGCTGTTTTTGGGAAATAAAAATCTTTTTAGCTTGTTGAATATTACTCAAAATATGTACTTTTTCAAGTATGACATGTGAAAGCGAAAAAAAGAAGCAAGATTAGTGGAAATTTCTGTTAGTAAGATTAGTAGAACTTTTCTCATTATTCTAGCTAAATATAAGTTCGATTCGATGCAAGAATTCAAGCCAATTTGATGCCAACTAGTTGATGTAACCAAACAAACTAAAATAAAGTCCCGAAAAGTTTATGCAAAAACTTTTTAAGGTTTATTAATTCAAAGTTGGGCAAGCTCATTTGTAAATTGAAGCTTTCACTTACTTGAAAACGCCTTTCATACGTTTTCTCCGAATGAGTCAAACAAGTCATTCGTTCATTCGTTTAGAAAGAGAAAGTGAAAAGCCACGTGTTGCATTACTTTAAAAAAAGTCGAGAAAAAGTGAATTCAATGAAGTTTTTGGTTTGGAAATGGGTTAATGAGGGATTGATGATGATAATGATGGGTGGATGGGAGGGGAAAAGAGGGAAAAGGCAGGAAAGACGCACTTTGGGACAAGTTGCAAAAAAAATTAGGTATAGAAAAAGAATCCTGGAATATATCTAAAAAATTTGCTGGCTAATCTTTGTCGAAAGCTGCAATAAATTTCGCTTTTCTTCAAATTATTTTTGCTTGTTTGAGATTTTGCAGGAAGGAAAAAATGAAAACAAAACGCAAAGCAATTGCTTAAACTCAATTCGCTTTGAAGATTGCGCTTAGATTCAATTACCTTCGAAGGCTGCGCTTATTAAATGAATTAGGTAAATTGTTTTGATAGCTTTTGAGCGGGGCTTATTCTTTAGGCCTGGCCCAGAACTTTTGCCTACGAACCAGTCTTGTTTTTAAGTAAAAAGTTTAAAATATCAAATTAGTTAGCTTTTTTTTAAGCTCAAGAACTCAAAAGGAGATGAAATTTGAATGAATCAATGAAACTAATCAAAAAGTCGATGTGAAAACAAAGTCGATTGAAATGTGAAAGCATTGAGACCGAAAATTGAGTCACCTTTTGCCGATTTCTGTATCAAAGTTGTATAGCTGGTCTTCTTGTCTCGTTGGTTGCAGAAGAAATGTCTCTATCGTGGTTGGTGTTGTCGTCGAATTCATTTCTCAAAATCCATCTATTTGTAAGATCAAAATATCACAGCAAGTAAACAATGCAAAAAAAAGAAAGCAGAAGAGCTTGATTGAAAGGTGCTAGAAATGGATCGGATTACAATTCAAAGCCTCAGCTACAGTTAAGTGAAGATCAAATAAAACAGTGTGAAGTGTAAAGACCGGGGAAATGAGTGAAAATAGGGTATAAAGCCTAAAACAAGTCGAATCGTTAATGTTTTTGAAGTTTTTAAAGAAAGAATGTTTAACCAGATTGGTTATGAGAATACTTTAGGAGATTGGTTATGAGAATACTTAGGAGATAACGAATACCGAGCATGTTCTGGGATTTCACAAGTCTCATAAGTTTGACTAATTCAAAATTGGACATAAATTGGACAACTATGAAGCAAAAAAACCTTCAAATCGTTTAGTGATGGTGTTAAAATAGGAGTATGGGGCTTGTCAAGGAGAAATTTTGGTGGTGAGAGGTTGAGTGAGATGGATTACTCTTCTTCAAATCAAACAGCACACCAAAAGAATCATTTCTTTTGAAAAACGTGATCAAGAGATAATTTTTATGAAAATAAAACCTTTTTGAACTTTCAAATATCACTTTTTTTACGCAAAAAGTCTGAATTCTCAAGGTAAGCTTTTTAAAAATTTATTTGAATTTGAATAATTAGCGTGCCGATAATTAGCGACAAATATTTTGAATGTTTAAATTTCTTACTTTTTACAAGTTATGCATTCCCTCATAGCCAAAATATCAGCTGCTTAGCCTTGAATTTCTAAGTAAGTTTAAGAAAATGAATCCTAAGCTCTTTGATTACCCTACGGTATCAATGAAAGTTGCAAATCAGTGCCGATAATTAGCGACAATAAATCTGAAAGTGTTAGAAAAACTTTGAACTCAAAAGCAGCCGACACAAAAATTGTAACAACAATTTGAAAAGAATGAAAGGAATCGGTGGTTTTTCCTCAGAAAAGCCATATGCTCATCTTCTATGAGAAAACATTGAATGAAAGGGCTCGTATTTTGACTAGGATTTTAAGATTTTTATTAAAATCTTAAATATTAACCAGACCTAATATTGGGTTGTGTACTACAGTGGTCCACAAAAGTATTGTCCCATTGCCATACTTTTGTTTAATCAAAATTTTCCAACTTTCTTTCCGATATGCATTTGGTAGCTTGAGAGGTAGTCAATTAGAAAATGAATTTCAGTGAAAGACATACAGTGGTCCACAAAAGTATTGTCCCATTGCCATCCAAAAGTTTCTTTCGTACGAAAAGCTTGCAAAAAAAACGATATTCCCAAAAAGTGTAGGGTATTTTGCTTACCCATAATACTCTACTTTTCAAGATTATAAGATTCATCCGTATAAATTGCATAAAAATTAAAGTATAAAACAAAAACAATAAGTTCTTGAATAATCTTGAAAAGTAGAGTATTATGGAAACCTGAGATATACTTATAAAAAAGTTCAGTAAACTTTGGCTCAAATCGATAGCTTTGAGAATCAAATTTTGCTATTTTTTTAAAAATTCTATTCAAGTTCTATTGCTAAAAAGATTGTTTAAAAGTATTGATTCAGTAAAAAGTTCCGGCTCCGTCAAGGAGGGTCAAAAACGTCATTTTTGCTTCTTGTCAGCCTGTAGAGTTACTTTGAATAGCTACTTTGAATAGTTACTTTGAATAGTTACTTTGAATAGCTACTTTGAATAGCTACTTTGAATAGTTACTTTGAACAGTTA